GGCCATCGCTACTAGGTTGGAGGGCCATCGCTACTAGGTTGGAGGGCCATCGCTCTTAGGTTAAAAGAAGAACAGAGACATTATTATCGTTTCTCCTTCCATTGCCCTCCTCGACTCTCTGGACTCTCTGGATTCGAGGTCGAGGAGCACCAAAGAAGTTCAAGGCAGATCTCAGTTCTTCGGCTCTTTTTTTCTTCAGATCATAGATTCATGCATTCAGAAGGATTCTGAGTGGGACTGATTCGGATTGCAAGAAAAACAACACTAATTTTGAAATGTTTTGTTGCCACTTCTCGCTGATGGCCGTAGAGAATAAACCTGTTCTCATGATGCAGGTGGTTGTGCTGGGAGATGAGGCGGCCGGTGAAGATCTCAGTGAGGGCTACTAATGAACAATTCTTGGAGGAAGTCACCTTGATCTCAAGATCTCCCGAGAGGGAATCTCTCAGAATATCGTGTATGACCTTTTTGTGCGAAATCGAGGCTGCAAAGATCAGGTTTCCGTGAGTGTGCAATTGAGGCAAAACATCGTTGGTTCGCCGCTACATGTACGACACCTTTGAAGAGGGAACTGCCCCAACTGTAGGCAGAGTTCCACTTTCACTTTCTGTGGGAGAAGGACTTGTCATACTGCTGAAAGGCATGGACTTCCAGAGCAAAACAGCTTACTTGGATGATGTTTCAAGCCTAGCATGGGGATGCACAAGCTGTTTGCTAACAGCAACCTGTTTCAGCTCTTATGGAGTTGCACTTCTTGAGCCTTGCAACTCAGGGACGTTCTCTCCGCTTGCAGCTCTGGGACACCGCTGGACAGGACCGAAGACTGATCGATGGCCTCCAACCTACTAGCGATGGCCTCCAATCTCGTAGCTTCTTGCTCCTAGTAGCGAGGCCAGGAGCCCCTAGTAGCTTCTTGTTCCTAGTAGCGATGCCCTTTGATCCTAGTAGCTTCTTGTTCCTAGTAGCTTCATTGCCCCCAGTCAGGAGAGATTCCGGAGTCTCATCCCGAGCTATATACGTGATGCAGCAGCGGCGGTGATTGTATATGACATCACCAGGCAGTCGTCTTTCCAAGGAACCAGGACGCCACGGCTTTGTTCTGGATTTCAAGATATTTCAAGTCTTCTTTTCACTGCTCTGAGGCATTCTTTACAGCATTCCTGGAAGTGATAGTCTGTAGTCAGGGGTAGGTAAGTCCCAGTCCTTGTCTTAGAATTTACAGAGTCATCAGGAGCTGGGTGTCGGACGTCCGAGCAGAGCGAGGCCTGTCAAGAATCACAGTTCTGCTCTGCTCAACCTATTAGGAATGGCCTCCACCCTAAGAGCGATGGCCTCCAATAGCAATGGCCTCCACCGTAAACCCCTTTGTTACGCAAAGCGTTGGAACTCGCTGATGTTTGCACAGCCGTGAAGGCGGAGAAGCTGTGCTGGCTCTGGTGGGCAACAAGTCCGACTTGGCCTCGGACCGTCAGGCGAAACTCTGACGATCCGAAGACCGAAGATGGAACTTCCGTAGCAGAAAGAACGTGTAGGTTACCTTTCGGGGCTTGAAAGAACGCAGGTCTCGGAAGAAGAAGGCAAAGAGCTGGCAAAGGCAGACTTGGGCTCTTGCTGAGGTTTTCAGAACTTTCAGTAGGAGCAAGGCCGCCACTAGGGGCTCCTGACCTCGCTACTAGGAGCAAGGACGCTAGTAAGAAAGCAATCCACAAATCCTCTTGGCGCGCTGATTTGGAAACACTTGTTGGTTCTAATTGGTCAGGGCCGAATCGCTGCGTTCCTGAGTTTGTTCCTTCTGAAACCAAGTGGAATTGATAGCATTTTCCTCCTCCCAGAACGCAGATTTACCAGTTTTGCACGTGTTTGAATGTTTTTGTAGCCGTCGAATTCCATTCTGCGAGAGGAATTAGGAGTGATGTTCATGGAGACCAGTGCGAAAAGAGGAGCCAACAAGATGGGAGCATTGAATAGCAGCTTCATGATCTGTTATGACGCTACTAGGGGCTCCTGGCATCGCCACTAGGAGCAAGGACGCTACTACTAGGGGCTCCTGGCCTTACTTCATTTGACAGAGAGTGGTCACGGAACATGCAGCGGTGGAGCTTGCAAGTGGAGGAGAGAATGTCACAGCACTCTTCCAGTGCTGCCCTTGGAGATTCCAGCTGCTTGTGGTGGATCCCTTCAACTTGTATCTGAAAACCTACATCTACTAGTAACAAGAAGCTACTAGGAACAGGGGCATCGCTACTAGTAACAAGGGCATTACTACGAACAAATAGCTACAGGAACCGTTTCGGGTCTGCGAACGGGGCGAAGTTTCCATGACAAACCCGAGCCCTTCCACGTCGGATCTCGCTGGGTAGCTTCCAAGCTTACTGGCTTTTTCACATCATCTTACTGGCCGCCTGCCCGAACCTTCAGAAAGAATGGACAGTCTACATGAAAGTACAGCCATCGCTAGTAGGTTGGAGGCCATCGCTATAGGTTGGAGACCTAAGGGGGGCTCTGTGAGTTCCTCTGTAACTTGAACATTTTCACATGGGTTTGGCTTATTGGGCGTCCTGTCCAAGATTGCACAAATCTTAATTCGACAACCTTCGCACTGTTCTACTCTCTGTGATCCCACGCTACTAGGCAAACATAACTTCTTCATGGAACATAACTAACTTAACTAGTAACAAGTGCATCGCTACTAGTAACAAGTGCCTTACTAGTAGTAACAGGAAGCTAGTAGAAACAAGAAGCTACT